AGAGGAGAGAGAGAGAGAGAGAGAGAGAGAGAGAGAGAGAGAGAAGAGAGAGGAGAGAGAGAGAGAGAGAGAGGAGATTAGAGAGAGAGACGCAGAGTTTAAACTCGTATTCTGCCTCCACAAACTTCCTAACTAATTTCCCCTCCTCCCTAAACCTGACCCTCAAGTTAATTATTTCCCCGCGTGTGCGCACTTCACGTGTTCCATAAATTGTGTAGGAAACAGAAAACCTTTTCACACACATAACAAGATATATGAGGCAATGATTCACCGCTATATCTACCAAGCAGATAATTCAAAGAACATGAACAAAAAGTCCCCTGCACACACACACACACACACACACACACACACACATTAGACACACATTAGACCCGAGCCTATTAGACCTGATTTTCACCCAGAACGTAGAAGATATCGAGAATTTAGAGCATGAAATACCTCTAGGGGCCAGTGACCATTGTGTCCTAGTCTTTGACTACATGATGGAATTCAAAATTATGACCATGGGACAAGAGATCTGGGAAAGGAGAGCTGACTACAGGAAAGGGGACTATATGAGGATAAGGGACTATCTGGGTGAAGTGCAGTGGGAGGAAGAAATTAGAGGAAAAACAGTCCAAGATATGATGGACCTAGTCATACAGAAATGCCAGGAGGCCGAAGAGAGATTTATACCAACGGTAAAGGGAAAAAATAAGAAGGAATATAATAACCATGGTTTAATAGACAGTGTCAGGAAGCAAAAATGGCCAGCAGGCGGGAGTGGAGGAAGTACAGAAGACAAAGAACAGAGGACAACAGAAGCAGATACAACAGAGCTAGGAACGATTACATTAACATAAGACGAACATCGGAAAGGGACTATGAGAACGATATTGCAATCAAAGCGAAAAACAACCTAAGTTACTACACAGTCATATAAGAAGAAAAATGTCGGTGAACGACCAAGTGACAAGATTAAGGAAGACAGAGGGGGCATATACTGAAAGTGACAAGGAAATCTGCGAGGCACTGAATGCCAGTTTCCATGGAGTGTTCACTACCGAGCCTGAGCAGCTCCCATTGTTGGAAGGGGTTACCCTAGATGAAAGACTATCAGATATAGAGGTGACAGCAGAGGAGGTAATGAAACAGTTGACAACTCTAGATGCAACTAAAGCAGTTGGACCAGACAAAGTATCACCGTGGATACTAAAAGAAGCAGCACAGGCCCTCAGCGTGCCTCTGGCAATGATCTTTAATGAGTCACTTATGTCAGGAGAATTGCCCAGTTGCTGGAAGAAGGCAAATGTCGTGCCGATCTTCAAGAAAGGAGATAGGGAGGAGGCACTTAACTACAGACCTGTATCACTGACAAGCATCCCCTGTAAAATACTGGAAAGAATAATTAGGCTACGACTGGTTGCACACCTGGAGAACATTAGGTTTGTGAACAAACATCAACATGGGTTCTGGACAGGGAAATCGTGCCTAACAAACCTTCTGGAATTCTATGATAAAATAACGAGGATAAGACAGGACAGAGATGGTTGGGCAGACTGCATATTTCTGGACTGCCAAAAAGCCTTTGATACAGTACCGCACATGAGACTGCTGTTCAAGCTCGAGAGGCAGGCGGGGGTGGGGGGAAAGGTCCTAGAATGGATAAGGAACTACCTAACAGGAAGGAGCCAAAGAGTTACGGTAAGGGGCGAGAAGTCGGACTGGCGAACAGTAACAAGTGGAGTACCACAAGGATCGGTGCTGGGACCAATTCTATTTCTTGTATATGTTAACGACATGTTTACAGGCGTAGAGTCCTACATGTCGATGTTTGCGGATGATGCAAAGTTGATGAGAAGAGTTGTGACAGATGAGGATTGCAGGATCCTCCAAGAGGACCTGAACAGATTGCAGAGATGGTCAGAGAAATGGCTACTAGAATTCAACACGAGCAAATGTAAAGTTATGGAAATGGGACTAGGAGATAGGAGACCAAAGGGACAGTACACAATGAAGGGGAACAGCCTACCTGTAACGACGCGTGAAAGAGACCTGGGGGTGGACGTAACACCTAATCTATCTCCTGAGGCACATATTAATAGGATAACGACAGCAGCGTACTCTACACTGGCAAAAGTTAGAACATCATTCAGAAACCTAAGTAAGGAGGCATTTAGGGCGCTTTACACTGCCTACGTAAGGCCAGTCTTAGAGTATGCCGCCTCATCATGGAGTCCCCATCTGAAGAAGCATATAATGAAACTGGAAAAGGTTCAGAGGTTTGCAACGAGACTCGTCCCAGAGCTACGAGGGATGGGGTATGAAGAGCGCCTGAGGGAACTGTGCCTTACGACACTAGAAAGAAGAAGGGAGAGGGGGGACATGATAGGAACGTATAAGATACTCAGAGGAATTGACAGAGTGGACATAGACGAAATGTTCACACGGAATAGTAACAGAACGAGAGGACATGGATGGAAGCTTGAAACTCAGATGAGTCACAGAGATGTAAGGAAGTTTTCTTTTAGCGTGAGAGTAGTGGGGAAATGGAATGCACTTCAGGAACAGGTTGTGGAAGCAAATACTATTCATAATTTTAAAACCAGGTATGATAGGGAAATGGGACAGGAGTCATTGCTGTAAACAACCGATGCTCGAAAGGCAAGAGTCAATGCTCGATCCAAGAGTCAATGCTCGATCCTGCAAGCACATATAGGTGAGTACATATAGTGGTGGAGTATGCAACACCAGGTGATAAGAAACACACACACTACTAATAAAGCGGAAATGGAAGTTTGATGAGCTGGAAAATCCGGGTACCAATGAAAGCACGAGCTTCATACATGGAACTCTGAGTGGATGGGAAGAAGATTGTAATCTAGATACTCTACAATCTCCCACCAAACAGTAGAAGGCCCAGGCAGGAGTATAAGGACAGCAACAAGGCATGTATAGTTGAACTGCAGAGGGCAGCAACAATAGTGCATAGAATGAGATCGAGGCTGCTGGTCATGGGGGACCTAAATCACAGAGAGAGAGATTGGGAAACGAGGAATCCCCATGGCGGCGAGGAAACGTGGGGAGTGAAGTTAGTAGAAGTTATTGACAGTAATTTCCAAACACAACATGTGAAGGGAGGCACAAGGGAAAGAGGAGGGGATACGCCGAGCCTATTAGATCTCATTTTCACCCAGAATGTCGAAGACATCGAGAATTTGGAACATGAAATACCACTAGGAGCCAGTGACCATTGTGTCATAGTCTTTGACTATATGATGGAACTTAAAATTGTGACCATGGGACAAGAGGTCCGGGAAAGGAGAGATGAATATAGAAAAGGGGACTACAGACGGATAGAATATATATATATACACAGAAGAGTTCCTCAATGACAAAGTGGTCATTTGTAAAGGGGGGGGGGGGGGGAATACCACTTGGTACCAATCTGCTCAAGAGAATGGATTGGGAAAGACTACCTACGTGAGACCAGTCTTAGAGTAGGCAGCGCCATCATGAAGTCCCCACTTGAAGAAACACATAAGGAAACTGGAAAAGGTTCAGAAGGTTATCTACTCTCTATCCATGGCTAGGTTAAGGTTAGGTTAGGGTTAGGATAGGGTTAGGTTAGGGTTAATTTAGGTTAGGTTAGGGTTAGGTTTGGTTAGGGTTAATTTAGCTTAATGTTTAGTTAGGTTAGGTTTCATTACGTTTGTCAATAATACAGTGTATTATTGACGATGATGTGAAATTCGAAAACCATTTCAGTATGTCCGAGAAAACCAAATTCTTTAAAGAAAACGCTTTCATCATACACTTTTCACATTTTAAAGCAACGATTTAAAATACAATAACGTTGTAACTCTAGTATAATCTCCGTTTAAAAGTTAAAAAGTTCAATTGCCAATTACCAGTTTACAAGCAGACTATTACTGGAACCATAATATGCTTTCAGGCCATCACAAATATCTAGGTATATGTAGGTTTGACGATGGTGAGGGGGGGGGGGGGGGGGGAAAGAGGGGGGGGTAGAGGGGGGGAAGAGGGGGGGATGAGGGGGGGTAGAGGGGGGGGGGAATTGGTTTCACATGGTAATGGATTTGCTTTGAAGACGAACTCACCCAAACGACAGATCGAAACGTCGTCACTTGAATATAGTTCAAAACTGACCGAATCATCGTCTTTTCTTGTTATTATCTGATGTGTGAGTCGGGTGTCTATTGTTCAGCCAGGTTATTGTGACTTGCTCTCCGCATCCTTTAAAAAATATTCCTTAAAAGGCAATTAGGAGCTTCCCCTCGAGTGTCTGCACCTAAACGCTCACAACTTAGGTTCAGAAACGAGTGTCATTTCTTCCCAAGGAGGAGCAGTGTTTGGCTTTCGACTCTAGAGCACAGCCCCGGAGGCTGAATGCCTTTAAACACAGGAATGGCAAATACGCCGACAAACACATTGAAATAATTTGCACAGCCACGGGGAGGGGGGACCGATGCAGACAATCACTTGGCAGAAATTGACGCAGACACTGGCAGGGGAAATGACGTAAATACTGGGAGGGAATTGACGCAGACTGGAAGAGAATTGACGCAGACTGGAAGAGAATTGACCCAGACTGGAAGAGAATTGACGCAGACTGGAAGAGAATTGACGCAGACAAACACTGTGACGAAATTGACGTAGCCAAACACTGGGAGGAAATTGACGCACCCAAACACCGGTATGAAACATGACGCAAACACAACCAACAATCAAAAACCATCAAACACCCTGACATAGTCCAACACCTGACCAACACGAGCACCACAACACGTGACCACAACGGACTATCAAAAAAATAAAAAATCGACCACCCGTCCCACACCATAGGCTCAGCTAGCAGCCTCACCCTGCCCCCCAAAAAGCCGCAAATTTCATACACATTCCCCCCCAAAAAAAGGTCACATTGGGATATTATCACTGTAATGTTTATATCTGCCCCTCTACCACCTTCAGCAGTTCCCTCTTCCTTTCTCCTGCAGGGGTCGTGTACAGGGCTTGGAGCAGCGATGAGGACCTGGGACTCACCTGTCCCTTGGGACCAGGGGATTCGGCGCGATGCCCCTGCGCCACTGTCGCATACCGTCTCTTCGCCGTCCCTGGCGACAACCACTTCGCTCTCGACCCCGTCACGGGGATCCTGTCTAGGAACGCAGACGTGGCCCTCAGCGTCGGCACGACGTATATCTACAAGCTCATGGTGCAGGGTACGTCGCTACGCTAGTTAACTTGCTGTTAATATTTACAATCACAGAAGCTACCACTAATACCCACAATCACCGCCCCCCAACACTACCAATACTCACAATCATCGAGCCCATTACCCTAATACTTCCCCAGCACCCTTACCCACTGTAGACAGGGAGGAAAGGGGTGTATGGTAGCCAGGACGTTAGACAGAAGGGTGCCAGTGTGTGACAGACGCCATCTCTCTTCCCACAGGGATGACAGTAGACGGCCAGGCGGAGGAGGACCTGCCCTACGACCTCCTGACGCTAAAGATCTACGTCAGCGCTGACTACGTCAGGAAGATCCCGTGGACTTAACAACCTGACGTCTATTGTATGACAGTTCCTCTGGTTAGTTGCTCTAGAGTTGCTTAACAACCCGAATTTTCGTGGAATATTAAATTTTTTCCCAATTTTTTTTTATGAAATAATGTTTTCATTGTATTATATTTGATTGCAATTTTATGTTGAGTCAAAACTAACGTAGAAACTTGATCAAACTTAACCCAACCTAACATAACGAGGTCAGTAATTAACATTCCTAATATAATAGATTATTATTGTTAGAATAGAACCAATATTGAAAGAAATATTTAAAAATAACAAAAATCATTCGCCCCGTTACGCAAATCAGACCTTGCATATTAGGCCAAGTAGTGCTGTGTGCGTGTATATATATATATATATATATATATATATATATATATATATATATATATATATATATATATATATATATATATATATATATATATATTTCTCTCTAACACGCGCGTGCGCACACACGCACGCACATAAATACATAGGGGGCTGGGCGGCCGAGTGGCCAGCGCTCTAGACTCTTGGACCTAGGGGACCAGGGTTCGATCCCCGCATCCCGGCGGAGACAGATGGGCAGAGTTTCTTTAACCCTGATGCACTTGTTACCTATTAGCAAAATAGGCACCTGGGAGTAAGACAGCTGCTACGGGCTGCTTCCTGTGTGTGTGTGTGTGTGTGTGTGTGTGTGTGTGTGTGTGTGTGTGTGTGTGTGTGTGTGTGTGTGTGTGTGTGTGTGGGGAGAAAAAATAAATAAAATAAATTAGTTAGTAGTTAGTAACAGTTGACTGATTGACAGTTGAGAGGCGGGCCGAAAGAGCAGAGCTCAACCACCCCGCAAGCACAAATAGGTGAATACAAATAGGTGAATACACATCCCCAGGAAGTAGCCCGTAACAGCTATCTAACTCCCAGGTACCTATGTACTGCTAGGTGAACAGAGGCATCAGAGTGAAAAACTATGCCCCTTAGTTTCCGCCTTGTCCAGGAATCGAATCCGGGCCCCTTAGGACTACGAGCCCCGAGCACTGTCCACTCAGCCGTCAGGCCCCCTTTTGAAAGAGGTTATCTTGAGATGATTTCGGGGCTTTTTAGTGTCCCCGCGGCCCGGTCCTCGACCAGGCCTCCACCCCTAGGAAGCAGCCCGTGACAGCTGACTAACACCCAGGTACCTATTTTACTGCTAAGATTCATTCATTTTATGGAGGGATTCATTTTATTTATATTTTTAAAGTGCTAAGTGCTTCTAATATCAGCAGTTTGCTTCCAAAATCTCCGAGAAGAAAATTTCAAGTTTTCAAGAAAATATGTGTAAAATATTCTGCGCTTAACTTGGGCAAGAACCTGAGCTTCTTCAAGTTTTAATAATAATAAAAAAACATGAAAGATACAAAGTAAATTCTTCCGTGAGAGAAGCTTCAAACTTGCTTTTGATCGCTTTTCACGGTTACTTAAACAAGTTTAAAAATGGTGAGGAAGTGAAGACGTCGTCGGCAACAGTGCCAGGGTCACTGTAACGAGGTCAGACGCATGTCTGGAGGCGTCAGACGCACGTCTGGAGGCGTCAGACGCACGTCTGGAGGCGTCAGATGCACGTCTGGAGGCGTCAGATGCACGTCTGGAGGCGTCAGACGCACGTCTGGAGGCGTCAGACGCACGTCTGGAGGCGTCAGACGCACGTCTGGAGGCGTCAGACGCACGTCTGGAGGCGTCAGACGCACGTCTCGAGGCGTCAGATGCACGTCACAAAATTAACATGCTTTAACATTACAGTTATGCAAAGTGATAACACCAGAGTTAGAAACAAGTAGGTTTTCGATATTAACGATCATACTGTTAATCACAAATCGGTCCCCAAATGTAATCTCTCATAATGTTCTCGATATACTGCCGTTGGAAGCAGAAATCAAAGTGCAGTATATCCTGATGGAAGTTCTTGAATTGCTCCTCCGAGAACGCTTCCATGTTCTTGAATTGATGAAGATGAGATCCTCAAGGATATGGACTTCAAGAGACATCGTCCATTGTGCCGCAATTCTTCACTAGAGCGCCTGACAGCTGGGTGGACAGCGCTTCGGATTCGTAGTCCTGAGGTACCGGGTTCGATCCCCGGTGGAGGCGGAGACAAATGAGCAAAATGTTTCTTTCACCTTACTGCCCCTGTTACCTAGCAGTAAATAGGTACCTGGGTGTTAGACAGCTGCTACGGGCTGCTTCCTGGGGGTGTGTGAAACAAAAAGGAGGCCTGATCGAGGACCGGGCAGCAGGGACTCAAAGCCCCGAAATCATCTCAAGATAGAGTATCAAAAAGTCACATAGTTTTATGCCTTCGTTTCAGGTCTAGAAAGACCTGAACGACTACGACAAAGTTGTTCCAAGCTGCTTTCTCCTCCTTAGCGAGTTTCTCGGGAAGTTTCTTGCAATTTGAGTGTCTTTATGTATTTAAAGTATGACCTTTGTCTCAAACAGTTTCTGGAGGCAGACATCCTCTTTGAGGTACATCAAGGAAAACAGAGAAACTAGAATTTATATTACTAGAAAATTCTAGAAAGTTCTAGAAGATATTCAAATTTGATTAATCGTTAAATCTAGAATCTTCAGGAAAATCGGTACATTTCAAAATATCACATTCCTGGTCACCAAAGCAAAGTTTGAGTGGAATAATAAGTATTTTCAATATTTTGGAGGAAGTATTGAAAATACGAATAAGCAAAGGACACTTATTATCCACTAATTACGTTGTTAGGGCGCTATAGCAGGAACGAAATCACCTAGAGTGAACCAGTCTCTCACCCAGAGTGAACCAGTCTCTCACCCAGAGTGAACCAGTCTCTCACCCAGAGTGAACCAGTCTCTCACCCTGAGTCATTACTGACTAAAGGCAATAAAGTCAATATTGGCTTTCGAGACCATTCAAGTTTCTTCGATATATATATATATATATATATTTTATTAAATATGACCGAAAAAGTAAGATTAATAATTCTAACACGAATTTTCTCAATCTTTCGTACATTATGCTTCACTGTTGGAGGTAAATCAAAAATCACTTCTCCAAAATTCATTTTTATTTCTAGTCTGACGCGACACGGGCGCGTTTCGTAAAACTTATTACATTTTCAAAGACTTCACAAATACACAACTGATTAGAACTTGCGTTTCCCTGATTTTATATCTACATTTGAGTGAGGTGGGAAGGGTGATGTGGCATTACATTTGAGTAAGGTGGGAAGGATGATGTGGCATTAGAGGATATTAATAGGGTATTAAAAGTATCAACACAAGACAGAACACGAAACAATGGATATTGAATAGAAGTGTTTGTAGAAAGCCTATTGGTCCATATTTCTTGATGCTTCTATATTGGAGCGGAGTCTTGAGGTGGGTAGAATATAGTTGTGCAATAATTGGCTGTTGATTGCTGGTGTTGACTTCTTGATGTGTAGTGCCTCGCAAACGTCGAGCCGCCTGCTATCGCTGTATCTATCGATGATTTCTGTGTTGTTTACTAGGATTTCTCTGGCGATGGTTTGGTTATGGGAAGAGATTATATGTTCCTTAATGGAGCCCTGTTGTTTATGCATCGTTAAACGCCTAGAAAGAGATGTTGTTGTCTTGCCTATATACTGGGTTTTTTGGAGCTTACAGTCCCCACGTGGGCATTTGAAGGCATAGACGACGTTAGTCTCTTTTAAAGCGTTCTGTTTCGTGTCTGGAGAGTTTCTCATGAGTAGGCTGGCCGTTTTTCTGGTTTTATAGTAAATCGTCAGTTGTATCCTCTGATTTTTGTCTGTAGGGATAACGTTTCTATTAACAATATCTTTCAGGACCCTTTCCTCTGTTTTATGAGCTGTGGAAAAGAAGTTCCTGTAAAATAGTCTAATAGGGGGTATAGGTGTTGTGTTAGTTGTCTCTTCGGAGGTTGCATGGCTTTTCACTTTCCTTCTTATGATGTCTTCGATGAAACCATTGGAGAAGCCGTTATTGACTAGAACCTGCCTTACCCTACAGAGTTCTTCGTCGACTTGCTTCCATTCTGAGCTGTGGCTGAGAGCACGGTCGACGTATGCGTTAACAACACTCCTCTTGTACCTGTCAGGGCAGTCGCTGTTGGCATTTAGGCACATTCCTATGTTTGTTTCCTTTGTGTAGACTGCAGTGTGGAAACCTCCGCCCTTTTCCATGACTGTTACATCTAGAAAAGGCAGCTTCCCATCCTTTTCTGTCTCGTAAGTGAAACGCAGCACGGAACTCTGCTCAAATGCCTCCTTCAGCTCCTGCAGATGTCTGACATCAGGTACCTGTGTAAAAATGTCGTCAACATACCTGCAGTATATGGCCGGTTTCAAGTTCATGTCGACTAAGACTTTTTGCTCGATGGTACCCATGTAGAAGTTTGCAAACAGGACACCTAGGGGAGAACCCATAGCGACCCCATCTACTTGCTTATACATGTGCCCATCCGGGCTCAAGAAGGGTGCCTCTTTAGTACAAGCTTGGAGTAGTTTCCTCAGAATACTTTCTGGCATGTCAAGAGGAGTACAGGCTGGATCACGATACACTCTGTCGGCTATCATTCCGATTGTCTCGTCCACAGGTACGTTGGTAAACAGCGATTCTACGTCCAACGAGGCTCTTATCCCTGTGGCCCGTGCGCCCCGCAGTAAGTCCACAAATTCCTTTGGAGACTTCAGGCTGAAGGCGCAAGGAACATAAGGAGTCAGCAGGCCGTTGAGTCGCTTCGCCAGTCTGTACGTGGGTGTGGGTATCTGGCTAATGATTGGCCGAAGTGGGTTTCCAGGCTTGTGCGTCTTGACATTTCCATACGCATATCCAGGTTTATATTCCCCAATGATCTTTGGCAGGTGGAGTCCGAGGCATTTGAGCTGAAGGAGGCATTTGAGCAGAGTTCCGTGCTGCGTTTCACTTACGAGACGGAAAAGGATGGGAAGCTGCCTTTTCTAGATGTAACAGTCATGGAAAAGGGCGGAGGTTTCCACACTGCAGTCTACACTAAGGAAACAAACATAGGAATGTGCCTAAATGCCAACAGCGACTGCCCTGACAGGTACAAGAGGAGTGTTGTTAACGCATACGTCGACCGTGCTCTCAGCCACAGCTCAGAATGGAAGCAAGTCGACGAAGAACTCTGTAGGGTAAGGCAGGTCCTAGTCAATAACGGCTTCTCCAATGGTTTCATCGAAGACATCATAAGAAGGAAAGTGAAAAGCCATGCAACCTCTGAAGAGACAACTAACACAACACCTATACCCCCTATTAGACTATTTTACAGGAACTTCTTTTCCACAGCTCATAAAACAGAGGAAAGGGTCCTGAAAGATATTGTTAATAGAAACGTTATCCCTACAGACAAAAATCAGAGGATACAACTGACGATTTACTATAAAACCAGAAAAACGGCCAGCCTACTCATGAGAAACTCTCCAGACACGAAACAGAACGCTTTAAAAGAGACTAACGTCGTCTATGCCTTCAAATGCCCACTTGGGGACTGTAAGCTCCAAAAAACCCAGTATATAGGCAAGACAACAACATCTCTTTCTAGGCGTTTAACGATGCATAAACAACAGGGCTCCATTAAGGAACATATAATCTCTTCCCATAACCAAACCATCGCCAGAGAAATCCTAGTAAACAACACAGAAATCATCGATAGATACAGCGATAGCAGGCGGCTCGACGTTTGCGAGGCACTACACATCAAGAAGTCAACACCAGCAATCAACAGCCAATTATTGCACAACTATATTCTACCCACCTCAAGACTCCGCTCCAATATAGAAGCATCAAGAAATATGGACCAATAGGCTTTCTACAAACACTTCTATTCAATATCCATTGTTTCGTGTTCTGTCTTGTGTTGATACTTTTAATACCCTATTAATATCCTCTAATGCCACATCATCCTTCCCACCTTACTCAAATGTAATGCCACATCACCCTTCCCACCTCACTCAAATGTAGATATAAAATCAGGGAAACGCAAGTTCTAATCAGTTGTGTATTTGTGAAGTCTTTGAAAATGTAATAAGTTTTACGAAACGCGCCCGTGTCGCGTCAGACTAGAAATAAAAATGAATTTTGGAGAAGTGATTTTTGATTTACCTCCAACAGTGAAGCATAATGTACGAAAGATTGAGAAAATTCGTGTTAGAATTATTAATCTTACTTTTTCGGTCATATTTAATAAAATATGTCTACAGGAAAGACTGCTACCAAAATATACTAATATATATATATATATATATATATATATATATATATATATATATATATATATATATATATATATATATATATATATATATATATATATATATATATATATAGTGTCAGACCACAGAGGAAGAACTGAAACAGGAATTTCCTTAAGTACTTTCGTATATTAATGCATCTTCAGAAGGAATGATTTACAGGTCAAGTATTGGACATATATATAGGCAGGAGAGGTGAAGTGAAGTGAGGTACAATGAAAAATGAATGGAAATTAGATGAATAATATGTGGATAAATCTGGCTCGAGGGATTTGATTGTTTAATTTAATAGATAATTAATTTAATGAATTTTAATTTATGATGTATAATGGACTTATTTATTATATCTTACGATAGCCTAGCGGACTGTATGGCTGTAAATGCTCCTACACATAATTGGTGGTTAATTATAGTAGCCTATCAATCGAGAATTATCGATTAACAGGGAAATTCATACTAAGTGTTCGTATTAGTTAATGGGTTAGTACATGAACAGCAGCTCAATTATCTGCATATTGTAACTTTATTAAGATTAGATTATTAGATCTAAGATCTAATTATTTTAATGATGTTGGTTTTTTCCGATTATTATTAAATTATTAAATGATGTCGGTTTTTTCCTGAATTAATTATATATATATATATATATATATATATATATATATATATATATATATATATATATATATATATATATATGTCGTACCTAGTAGCCAGAACGCACTTCTCAGCCTACTATGCAAGGCCCGATTTGCCTAATAAGCCAAGTTTTCATGAATTAATATATTTTCTCTATTTTTTTTCTTATGAAATGATAAAGCTACCCATTTCATTATGTATGAGGTCAATTTTTTTTTATTAGAGTTAAAATTAACGTAGATATATGACCGAACCTAACCATCCCTACCTAACCTAACCTAACCTATCTTTATAGGTTAGGTTCGGTTAGGTAGCAGAAAAAGTTAGGTTAGGTCAGGTTAGGTAGGTTAGGTAGTCGAAAAACAAATAATTCATGAAAACCTGGCTTATTAGGCAAATTGGGCCTTGCATAGTAGGCTGAGAAGTGCGTTCTGGCTACTAGGTACGACATATATATATATATATTAATTTTCTCTCTTTTCTACCAGGTGGTGGAATGAGGCTTTGGCCCTGAGTACCAGCTGGTGCTGCCACCTGGCGGGTCTCAGACTCCACCTGCACCACTTCGGCCCAAATGGTCGTTTCCAGCTGCTGAGGGCCAACTCCACCTGGCGCCTCAAGCTTCTCCACCTGGCCACAACACACACACCACCTGGCGCCTCAATATACTGCATCTGGAGCCCGCAGGTGGTGCCAGGGCTGGAGTGCCATAGGGTGCCAGGATGGCGACCAGTTGGCACTTGTCTATCACACAGCTATATGGGAGCGACGCCCTTATCAGCGCCTCACTCCTCAAGTCACACTACAGTGAAGAAATGAAACTGAATTATTACAAATCAGCTGGATGTAAATATTCCTTTTCGGTTCGAGTTATCAGGAGTTGATGTGATTTTATCAAGCGCTACAGCTTAATCAATCGAGAGCCGGCATAACCAATCAAGAGCCAGAGTAACCAATCAAAGAGCTACAACATAACCAATCACGAGCCAGTGTGACCAATCGACAGTCCCAACACGGCCTACCTAGAGCCCACAAGACTGACGTAATCAAACATTTTAACTTCGTAAATAACAGTGATCAAATATTTTCCTACCCAGTTATTAAGAAATGTAGTAGTAAGCATACTTTCAGGACCCTAAGAGTGGCTAGTTTGCTACTGAGGGCTGTGAGTGTCGGGTGTAGTGTGTGTGTGTGTACCGTATAGAGCCCTCAAGTCACAGGGTATACGTGTCAAGGGTCTCTATAGAGTGTATTGTAGTACACCCACGGCGTTCCAAGATGGCGTATCAAGGGCGCGTCAACCACCTCCACCTCCTCTCTTACCCATCCCTAATTTCCTTCCCGGAGTCAATTTACCCTGTAATGACCCTCTTGTCTATACAAAACAATGTGAACCAATTTGCCCGTGTTGCTTCCACCTGTCCTAGACTTTTCTATCGTAACATATTGGTGGAGAGATCATGTGTGTGTTGTAGCAAGTAAAGCAGCGCAGTCTCCCCTTCAACATCCAAGATGGCGCGGGAAACCAGGGGTGACTCACGAAAATATTTTATTTTTGTCTTCACTGTTTTTCACTTTCCAGGGATAATGGTTCGCACAACGGGGCCGCGTCCCTGCCTCCACCTACTCCGTGACAGTACCTCTCTATACCGTGACAGTAGCTCTCTACACAGTGACAGTAGCTCTCTACACCGTGACAGAAGCTCTCTACACCGTGACAGTACCTCTCTACACCGTGACAGTACCTCTCTACACCGTGACAGTACCTCTCTACACCGTGACAGTACCTCTCTACACCGTGACAGTACCTCTCTACACCGTGACAGTAGTTCTCTACACAGTGACAGTACCTCTCTACACTGTGACAGTAGCTCTCTACACCGTGACAGTAGCTCTCTACACAGTGACAGTACCTCCCTACACCGTGACAGTACCTCTCAACACCGTGACAGTACCTCTCTACTCCGTGACAGTACCTCTCAACACCGTGACAGTACCTCTCTACACCGTGACAGTACCTCTCAACACCGTGACAGTACCTCTCTACACCGTGACAGTACCTCTCTATACCGTGACAGTAGCTCTCTACACAGTGACAGTACCTCTCTACACCGTGACAGTAGCTCTCTACACCGTGACAGTACCTCTCTACACCGTGACAGTACCTCTCTACACCGTGACAGTACCTCTCTACACCGTGACAGTAGCTCTCTACACCGTGACAGTACCTCTCTACACCGTGACAGTACCTCCCTACACCGTGACAGTAGCTCTCTACACAGTGACAGTACCTCTCTACACCGTGACAGTACCTCTCTACACCGTGACAGTACCTCTCTACACCGTGACAGTACCTCTCTACACCGTGACAGTACCTCTCTACACCGTGACAGTACCTCTCTACACCGTGACAGTAGCTCTCTACACCGTGACAGTACCTCTCTACACCGTGACAGTACCTCTCTACACCGTGACAGTAGCTCTCTACTCCGTGACAGTACCTCTCAACACCGTGACAGTACCTCTCTACACCGTGACAGTACCTCTCTACACCGTGACAGTACCTCTCTACACCGTGACAGTACCTCCCTACACCGTGACAGTACCTCTCTACACCGTGACAGTAGCTCTCTACACCGTGACAGTACCTCTCTACACCGTGACAGTACCTCTCTACACCGTGACAGTACCTCTCTACACCGTGACAGTACCACCCATGTACATTAATGAAAACTTCTTGACTGCTCCCATGTACATCAATAAACACTTCTTAACTACTCCCATGTACATTAATGAACACTTCTTGACTACTCCCATGTACATTAATGAACACTTCTTGACTACTCCCATGTACATCAATGAACACTTCTTGACTACTCCCATGTACATCAATAAACACTTCTTAACTACTCCCATGTACATTAATGAACACTTCTTGACTACTCCCATGTACATTAATGAACACTTCTTGACTACTCCCATGTACATCAATGAACACTTCTTGACTACTCCCTTGTACATCAATAAACACTTCTTGACTACTCCCATGTACATCAATGAACACTTCTTGACTACTCCCTTGTACATCAATGAACACTTCTTGACTACTCCCATGTACATCAATGAACACTTCTTGACTACTCCCTTGTACATCAATAAACACTTCTTGACTACTCCCATGTACATCAATGAACACTTCTTGACTACTCCCATGTACATCTCTCTTGGTTGTTCCCATGTATATTTAAGAGCACCCCTCCTGGTCCCCCCCCCCATGTACATAAATAAACACCAGACTTGACTGCTCCCATGTACACACCTGTACGCTCCTGTACACCTGTCCTGGCTGTCTCACTCCGCCACAAGTGCACTGTACACAAACCATTGACGTACGTTATCAATAAAGAGTATTGCATAGAGCCCGTTGTATCATTCCCGGAACCCCAGTTTTATTGCAGTGCAACTGATAGATTCACAAGTAATTACGGCTATCAAAGAGAACATTATTCCCTACAGAGAGAAGCGAAATTGCAATGGCGATTATATTTTGTAAAACTAACAGTTTAGCTGTTCATGTTATATCCGATATGAAATGTAAATATCTGACATAAAAAGAAGAAATATAGCGATGGGAGGGCGTGTGCGCGCGTGCACGTGCGTGTGTGGTTGAGTTTCGGCTCTTTGGGCCCGCCTCTCAACTGTCAATCAACTGGTGGATGGGTTCCTGAACCGAATTGGGTTCCATCATATCTACATTTGAAAATGTGTATGGAGTCTGCCTCCACCACATCACTGTCTAATGCATTCCATTAACTACTCTGATATTGAAAAATCTTTGTCCCTGTGGCTCATTTGGGTACTAAGTTTCCACCTGTGTTCCCTTGTGCGTGTACCACCCGTGTTAAATAATATCTCTATTTACAATGTCAATTTCCCTGAGTATTTTGTATGTGGTTATCATGTCTTCCTGAACTCTTCTGTCTTCCAGCGACGTGAGGTACAATTCACGCAGCCTTTCCTCGTAACTCATGCCTCTTAGTTCTGGAACTAGTCTGTAGGTGGCATACCTTCCAACTTTCTCCAGCTTCGTGTTGTGCTTGACAAGTTATGGGCTCCATGTTGTAGCCACATACTCCGGGATTGGTCTGACATGTGGTATACAAGGTTCTAAATGATTTCTTACACAAATTTCTAAAAGCAGTTCTAATGTTATTCAGCCTCGCATACGCCGCTGATGATATTCTCTTTAAGAGGGCTCCAGGAGACAGGTTCGACGTGATATTAACTCCTAGATCTTTCTCTCTGTTCGTTTCTTAGAGGACTTCGGCTCCCTATCGGGCTTTTGTGTCTGGCCTCCAGTTCCCTCCACCTAGCTTCATTACTTTACATTTACTCGAGTTAAACTTAGCAGCCATTTGTTGGACCATTCCTTCCGTTTATCCAGGTCATCTTGCAGCCTCTTGCTATCTTCCTCCGTCTTAATCCTCCTCTTGTGTTTTGCACATCATCAACAAACATTGATAGAAACGAGTCTATTCCCTCTGGGAGATCATTTACATATATCAGAAACAGCATAGGAACGAGGAGTTAACCCTGAGGGACTCTCCTGGTGATGGCTCGCCACTCTGCGCCCTCACAGTGGCGTCTATACAAGCTTCTATATCCAAACAATATCAACACTTCATCACTTGTGGGAGACGCGAACCCACACCAGTTCTAACGACCCTTATAAACCTTGCTACTACCTACCAGCCACTATAATCACTGATCACACACGTGGCACAATACTTCATCACAGGTCGTGCTGCGGTCGGTGGGTCGACTGTCCACAAGTGCACCAACAAACCGGACTTGACTCTGCCGTCAGGAAGAGTCCCAGTGACTCCCTAAATAACGGAAATTGGGACAGCTCGTCCCCGGCAAGTGGTGGCTCTTTCAGGGCAGCAAGCGAAAACCATAATATATGGGAACATATACTGCATACAATTCGGTATCAAAACGTGCCTTCTCTCTCTCTCTATGTTTGAAACTATGTGTCTGTAGCTGAGTGCGTCTGTAACACTACTATCTATCTCTAAGTACGTTTCTCTCTCTCATTGTCTCTGTGTATGTGTCTCTCTCTCTCATTGTCTCTGTGTATGTCTCTCTCTCTCATTGTCTCTGTGTATGTCTCTCTCTCTCTCATTGTCTCTGTGTATGTCTCTCTCTCATTGTCTCTGTGTATGTCTCTCTCTCTCTCATTGTCTCTGTGTATGTCTCTCTCTCTCATTGTGTCTGGGTATGTCTCTCTCTCTCTCATTGTCTCTGTGTATGTCTCTCTCTCTCATTGTCTCTGTGTATGTTTCTCTCTCTCATTGTCTCTGTGTATGTCTCTCTCTCTCATTGTCTCTGTGTGTCTTTTCCTGGAGGTATGGATGGGAGAGAACAGGTGTGTGGGTGTGTGATGCTGTGGGAGGGACGGGTATATGAAGGTATCCAGGTCGACTTGCGGAGGCACAGCCATGAGCAGTCCAGAGGGCAGTCAATTTATCAGCAATGGACGGAATATAACTGGCTTAAAAAGGTAAGTATTATGATTGGATTTATTTGGAATTTTGTCATAATCATCACATAATATTTTACAATAAGTGTGTCACACTTGTGATACACTTTCACAAGTGTATGATATTCTGCTCCCACATACAGTTCCTAGAGTGGAGAAGGCATATCCACTCTTCAACGGGCGAGTAATATGGCCAAATCTTCATGTTAAATTTAGTGCCCCATAACAACGCGACCAATTGTATCAATATATTCATGAGACCCTCCCTATACCCTCCCTATTAATGATAGGTTATTGATGTTGGGCTTTAAGAACAATAGGTGTGACCAATGTACTTGGCCAAATAGTGCGTTCTGACTGTTAGGCACTATATATATATATATATATATATATATATATATATATATATATATATATATGTACTCACCTAGTTGTGCTTGAGGGTGGTTGAGCTCTGGCTTTTTGGTCCCGCCTCTCAACCGTCAATCAACAGGTGTACAGGTTCCTGAGCCTATTGGGCTCTATCATATCTACACTTGAAACTGTGTATGGAGTCAGCCTCCACCACATCACTTCCTAATGCATTCCATTTGTCAACCACTCTGACACTAAAAAAAAAAGTTCTTTCTAATATCTCTGTGGCTCATTTGGACACTCAGTTTCCACCTGTGTCCCCTAGTGCGTGTTCCCCTTGTGTTAAATAGACTGTCTTTATCTACCCTATCAATTCCCTTCAGAATCTTGAATGTGGTGATCATGTCCCCCCTAACTCTTCTGTCTTCCAGCGAAGTGAGGTTTAATTCCCGTAGTCTCTCCTCGTAGTTCATACCTCTCAGCTCGGGTACTAGTCTGGTAGCAAACCTTTGAACCGTTTCCAGTTTAGTCTTATGCTTGACTAGATATGAACTCCATGCTGGAGCCGCATACTCCAGGATTGGTCTGACATATGTGGTATATAATGTTCTGAAAGATTCCTTACACAATTTCTAAAGGCCGTTCTTATGTTAGCCAACCTGGCATATGGCGCTGATGTTATCCTCTTGATATGAGCTTCAGGGGACAGGTCTGGCGTGATATCAACCCCCAGGTCTTTCTATCTCTCTGATACCAGAAGTATTTCATCTCCCAAAAGGTACCTTGTATCTGGTCTCCTGCTCCCTATACCTATCTTCATTACATTACATTTGCTTGGGTTAAACTCTAACAACCATTTGTTCGCCCATTCCTGCAGCTAGTCCAGGTCTTCTTGAAGCCTCAAGCTGTCCTCCTCTGTCTTAATCCTTCTCATAATTTTGGCGTCGTCAGCAAACATTGAGAGGAATGAGTCTATACCCTCTGGGAGATCATTTACGTATATCAGAAACAGGATAGGTCCAAGTACAGTGTGTGTGTGTGTGTACTCACCTATTTGGGTCTGCAGGAGCTCTAGCTCTTGGAACCCGCTTTTTTAGCCGTTGGTTGTCTAATGCAATGACCCCTGACCTATTTCTCTATCATATCTGCTTTTAAAGTTATGAATGGAGTTCACCTCTACAACCTGCACCTTTAGGTCACTCCATTTCCTCACTACCCTTACACTAAAGGAAAGTTTTCTCTCTATGACACATTTGAGTCTCAAGCTTCCATCCGTGCCCCCTTGTTCGAGTGCATGTGTGGTTTTTTTTACTATTTGTGTCGGTAAAACCGAGCTATTAGCTGTTGGACACCGCTTATCTAACCAATCTATTTTTCCTCTATTATATCTACTACATATATTTTCTAACACACGCGCGCACACCCCCAGGAAGCTGCCCGTAGGAGCTGTCTAACTCCCAGGTACCTATTTACTGCTAAGTAACAGGTGCATCAGTGTGAAAGAAACTCTGCCTATTTATTTCCGCCTCGGTTGGGAAACGAACCCGGGCCCTTAGGACCACGACCCCCGAGCGCTATCCACTCAGCGGAATAGGTTGCCCAATAGACCTAAGGACCAAGAACGGTCTCACGAAGAACAACGTCAAGAAGGATGACGAACGGTCTCCTGACACACACACACACACACACACACACACACACACACACACACACACACACACACACACACACACGAGGGGGAAGGAACACATGCAAAATATGAAGCCTTTTGAAACACCTTCATATATATCCTCGCTCCACACTTTTGCTTTATTTTTTTTTCTTACGATATATCATGGAAAATTGTCCGTTTACAGGTGATTCAGGACAGACGAGAGAGAGAGAGAGAGAGAGAGAGAGAGAGAGAGAGAGAGAGAGAGAGAGAGAGAGAGAGAGAGAGAGAGAGAGAGAGAGAGAGAGTGAGTTTGTATAGTCACCTAGTTGTACTCGCCTAGTTGTGCTTGCTGGGATTCAGCTTTGGCTCTTTGGTCCCGCCTCTCAACTGTCAATCAACTGGTGTACAGGTTCCTGAGCCTATTGGGCTCTATCATATCAACACTTGAAACTGTGTATGGAGTCAGCCTCCACCCCATCACTGCCTAATGCATTCCACTTGTTATCTACTCTGACACTGAAAAAATTCGTACCCAGGAGAGTACACCCAGGAAAGTACACCCAGGAGACCACATAAACACAGCCACACACAAGAGCACAAGGGGTAAAAACAGTGTTCTCAACACCAACATATTTAACCGAGAATTAACAATGTATGGTAATAGACACATACAATCATACCAGCCGAGTATAACACGCATTATATTATCCAGGAAAAGTGGTACCAATTAACATGCAACGGTCTTGAACACTTTACCCAAGAACACTTCCCCCACTACACTGACTTTAACCCCCCCCCACCCCCCACCCCTACACAGCCCACTACCCCCCCCCCCCCCCCTCCTCTTCAGGACCGAGAGAGCGCACTAA